GGTCAATTAATCAATCAGCCTAGTCTTCCACCCAGTGCCTTCAGTCTTCTTGTCTAAATACAATACGGCTATAGATTGCACGTACCTTTTCTATGATACTTCGTTCCATCAGCATGTTTGCCACAACTGCTTTAGACATATCGGGCAAATCAGTGAGATCTACTACTGCTTTTAATATAACTGAATTAAAAAAAAAAAAAAAGGTTAATATAATAACAGAAGTCTACATTTAGAACTAGAAGCTAAAGTACATGCTACAGAAGCTTCATCCATACAAGTATTCGAACGTTGTGGGTGATGCCTGTTGTCATGAATGGTACTGAGAGCTGAAGGAAAGAAGAGACAAAATTTTAAGGAAGTTGTATCTTCTGCATATTAGTAGCAGCACATATTCCAAGATCCTGCTCCTTTCTGTAAAGTGATGGTAAAGGACACTGCTGCCCAGGGACCAGATATGGTCTACAACTTCTCTTTAACGGTTTACAATCAAGAGAACTATTTTCCATATTACTATTGCACAGCATTAAAAGTATAATGTGAGATTCATCAAAGGGATTTTACTGGTCAGCTCAGCACTCAACCAGGAAAAGATTTCCCAATTGGGCTTCAAGTGTTCTGAAAGTCTTGACAAATCATGTAAAAGGCAGGACTTTAATTCCTTATGGCTAATCAAAAGTAAACTACATCCAATTTAATTCTATAAGAGCCTCTATTCAGGGATTTACTGGCCCCCCCTTTTTTTTTTCCCTATTTAACACCTTTAGTTAATTTATATGAACATTTTAGAGAATTGCTTTTCAGAGAACACTTATACACTCATTCCTTTCTCATTATTCATCAACTTCACCATACCACACCTCTAGCAGGGTCTTTCAGAACATTTGTTTTGGAATATCTGCAGTACCTCTTAAAACAGTCAGAGGAGTCTTGGTGTAGTAGCAGTTGTAGTAGTGGTGGTAGGAGTGTTTAAGGAAACTTTTAAAACTGACCTAGAATTACAAGGAGAAGCTGATCCCTGGGATAACTCTGCAAATTGCAATAGAACTGCATTACTGTAGAGTTAGGTCTCCACAGATTTAGAAGCAGAAATTATTAAAATGTCATGTTCGAAAATGAGGAAGAAATGTTTGCACAGATGTCTTATTTGTAGATAGATAAACACGTATGTTGGCCTCATTACAAATGCAACCTTCACTCAGATATGCTGGTCTTTCAAACCACAAAGTCAGCACCTGCATGGATGTTATCTGGTTATTCTAACTGTTTGGAGCTCCGGAGTATGAAAAAACTTGGTGAAGACTTCCTGCTTCTTCCTTCAGGCTTTCTGTGGTCTTTTCCATTTGGTTTTGCTTTGTTGTTTTCCTCTCTATCATCAGTGCCTCCAAACTCGATAGAAGAGAAATTCAACGTATGTCTCAGAACAGTCTGCACTACCAATAGCATACAGCAGCTTACCTGTTTAACAGCGTAAAGGAGGCGACCGTAGCAGTACATCATGACCATCACAGGGATGACCAAGCAGAATATGAAGAGACAGATGATGTAGGATGTGGACTCAGCTGACTCCGAAGACCAGCGTACTGAACAGCTCGTACCCGCACCTTCTACCCCGTAACTGCTCCAACCAACCAGAGGTGGCACGGTCCAGATCAGGGAATAAATCCATGAACCACCGACAGCCAACAATGCCTTGCGGTAGTCAGCGCTGCGTTTGTTGCACAGGGTGATTGTGCTGTAGCGTTCATAGGACAGGACAGCCAGGGAGATCAGGGACACAATGCCTGCAATGAACCAAGCAATTTAAATGCTTACTTTCATTATTTTGTGCAGTATCCATTTTAAACCCCAATAAATGAGATGCTTTTCTCACTATTACATATTCGAAGCAACAGTGAAAACTATTTCCATTTTCCTCTATGCTTAAATCCCCACCGGACCTGGTTGCTCTGCCCATCATGTCAAATTTTGTTTAACTCGTATTTATCTTATATTGAAAGATTTTCATACTTGAGAGCTATTCCTCTTCTAGGCAGGTATTCAGATTTAGCTCTTTTAGTATTACCCAGGGGAAATCCATTTTCTACATAAAATAATAAAATGTTGAAAGATTCCCTTGCTAAGAAATAGTCAATTTTTAACATCCATGAGGATTTTTGAATACTGCGTTGACTTTTATACATGCAGAAGGCTTCAAGATTGTGAGCTCAAAAATGAAAGAAGCTTTTGCACTTCTGCCCCATCAGCCAGATATAGCTTCAGTTCTGACCACTTGTATATGAAAACAACAGACAATCCTTGGCATGAGTGTGATGTGGCAGGTTGTAACTTTATTTACATATACGTCACATAATCAGTCAAAAAACGATTTAGGTTAATACTGATCTCTAGGTGTCAGAGACTAGTTATATCCTCCAGTGAAAGATTAGAAAATCTGGGTTGCAGGACATTTCCACTTTTAAGGTTCAGGGTCCTGACCCACTCTACAACTCTTTATGAATTTGCATGGCAGGTTCTTAGTCATGACTCAGTAGAGGTTTTTTGCTATTTCTTGTATTTCTGTTCTTACAGCTTCCTTACAGTTCTTGGTGACACTATACTTGATACCACTTCCCAGGATTTATGACGGAAGGAACTTTTTTGAAGAAACTTAACACCATCTTTCACCGTGGGTTACAAGTCCCTTCTTTTGGTCCTGTAAGATGAAAAACCTGAATAGACCTATGTCAGTCCAGCTCTTTCAAGGACTATTTTTTCTTCATCCTTGCCATTAGTAACAGCCAACTATACAACAGCATTGAGATCTAGCCTGTCAAAATTCTCTGGTTTTGAGTGGTACCTACATCCAGCAAATCTGTTAACAAAAAATACGGTCTTCAGAGGAATCCACAGCTGTAAACTGTTTTGTTTCCCAGCTTCTCTTACAGCTCCTTCACAGGTGCAGGATGGAGGTGAGTCAGAGTCCCCTGGGGATAGCACTAGTCTATCCTGTATCTGGGAAAACATAGCCCCCACATACTCATACAGGGCACAGCAGGATACTCTCCCCAGGCACAGTAGTTTGCTTCCCTTCCCCCTCCCCCTCCAGTTCTGTCACCCATTTCCTAGTTAGCTGGATGCGGGAGCAGCCATTCCTGCCATCCTGAGAATAATTTGCAGTTACTTTGTGCAGAGTTGGGTGCGGCAAAGGACCCAGGGGGAACACAAGCACTGTTTGCTGCAATAGGATGCCTTATTTCTCAGGGGAAGGAGAAAGCAAAAGGGTGTGAGGAAAAGTCAACTTTTGGTGAAGAAAACTTTATTTCTTGTTACAAGAGCCTACTAAATTATTTTCTGTGTATTACTGGGAAGTCAGACCTAAAAATTAGGTACACTTATAGCTGTAAAATGACACAGCTCCACTAAGTTAAGCTGAATTATACAGTTTAAGAATCTAACTTTAAATGTATTTTAAGACTAGCCTATTATAGAGGCAGTGGGGATATTCTGACTATCCCTCACCTAATTTGATTTCCTGCATAACACAGCTCTTGAAAGCCCTTGGCCATAATTCCTGCATTAAACACATATCTCAATACAGAAAAAAAGTAGTAGGTTCTGAATTACAGACTCAAGAACAAAGAATCTACCGCTCCCTTCTCACTTCCAGCCCACACTTACTTATCTTCACTTTCTTAGCATTGCCTCTTCCCATGGTTTTATCTGCTTGACTAAAGAGCGTCTTGCTACCAAAGGCATTTATCTCACGTAGGTACCTAAGGCAAAAATCCAGATTTTTATATTTGAAACTTAAGCCTCAATAAGGTGCTATAGATCTATTCATGCATATTAGATTAGATCATCATGGACTAACAGAAAACAGTCTTGGGAACAAGAAATCTCTCCCCTCCCAGCTGAGTGCTCTACAGCAGGGTTATATTATTCTTGCTTTAGTTCTGATGGCAACTGGGAGCACAATGTCCCTATTTTGATGAGATGGTAGGCGAGATGTACTTTTGTTGAGAATATCCTGCAGTCCTTCAGGTGTAGTGTCGCCTAGAAAACCCAAATGGGGTATTCAAATTTCCCTGCTTCAGGGCCCTGCTTCCTGGGTGGTTGCTTTAGCCATCAGGTCTCAGGTCAAGTCTGGCTGACAGCTCTGCCTGCTCGTCCCTGTGGCTGTGATACTGCCCAACAGCTTCTCACAGTTTATATTGTCATGATTTTCAGCATTCATTTACACTTCTTCACATTTTTGCCTGCTGCCTAATACGAGAAAGATGCTCAGCTTTTCTCATGTTGGTATTTATGGTGGACGGCTTTATGGAGTAGATCTGAAGATAATTGGCCATAAATGTAGTAGTAGTATTGTTTGCTTTGAGCCAAAGAAGAGTCCTGTCTTTAAGTTATTAAATTAGGACCATGGCGATGTCACTAAAAAAATAAATCAAATATTAGCAATCAGACAAAAGCACAAACTTTTCCTTTAAATTACAGCAAACTGTTTTTCTTCTCTACACAGAAGAGTAGAGACTTAATTACACACCTTGGCAGGAGCTATTTCATCTTTACTCACCTTTTATTATTGAGTTTCACTGACATGACACAAACCACATTTTTCTCTGGAGGACAAGAACTGTGATATCCCAAACCACAAAAGTGCAGAAAAAAATCAATATTTATCTTTTTCCTTTTGTCACAATAAGACTTTAAGGTCTGTGCTATACCTGAACTATTTAATATCACCGAAATTAACACCACTGTATATTGACTTCTAATGTTTTCAAAACAACAAGTGAAAAAGAGGAAAGCACTGAAGGGGTAGTTCATAACAGATATTAAAAGTTAAAAGAATTCCATGTGGCTCATGTAGTTAAAATAAAGTAAACCAGGCTAACTACTTAGAAAAATTACAAATACTTTGAAAGAATGAAACTGGTGCTTTGAAAAACAGAAAATGATGAAACTAAGAGCCACTAAAAAAAAATAAAAATTGAACTTTTTTCCCAACAGTGAGATACATTAAATTGAATTGTCTATGAGTAATGAAAACACCTATTACCCAGGGGATGAAGAAATAAAAACAACAGAAGCCATGGCAACCCTCTTGCAGTCTACTTAGTCTGACCTCATACAGTGTACACAAAGTCACAATATGTGCCTGGACCCTCTACACCCCAAGACTGCAGCTCCATCCAACCTTGCTGATGAAACACCTTGACACAGAACCTAAGAAAGGACAAACCCAATATAGGATGCACTTAAAAAAATAACCCTATTCCAATATTGTGGTAGATTATCAGCTCCAATGTCTCTGTTTGCTAAGAATATCCTCAGCTTTTTAATTTAAAAGAAAGAATTTTTTTTTAAATTCTCACTCCTTTATCAGTTTGATAGCTGAATCATGGGAAGATACCACTATCGTATGATCCATTATAGCAGATACACAGGCCTAATTTGTTGGACTGAAACACCACCATTTCAGAACACCAGCAAAACCAGGTTTTGTGTCAGTATTCAGTCTGACACTGGGTGGAAGTGAAAAACAGGGATCAACTCCATAACAGTGAATGAGCTTCCAGAAAAAACTCATGATTGCCTTGCCAGTTGCATGCCTTTCAATAGCACACAGTATGATCCTCTCCATAAGTTTTCCAGGTATTGAGGTTAGACTAAAAGGTCTGCAGCTTTCTTGGTCTTCCCTCACGCCCTTCTTGTAATCTGGTTTGGATAAAGTAGAATAAAATTTCTCACTTTTCATTGTGCCTCACCTTTTTGTATATCAGAGGTTTCTTAACGTCATATTCACTTGTCGTGTGTTAACTCCAGCCAGCAGCTCAGCCTCACGCAGCCACTTGCTCACTCCCCCACGGTGGGATGGGGTAGAGAATTGAAAGAGTAAAAGTGAGAAAACTCATGGGTTGAGATAAAGACACTTCAATAGGTAAAGCAAAAGCCACACACACCAGCAAAGCAAACCAAGGAATTCATGCACCACTGCCCATCGGCAGGCAGGTGTTCAGCCATCCCTGGGACAGCAGGGCTCCATCACACATAATGGTTACTGGGGAAGAAAACACCATCACCCCAAACATCTCCCCTTCCTCCTTCTTCCCCCAGCTTTATATGCTGAGCAAGACATCATATGGTATGGGACATCCCTCTGGTCAGTTGGGGTCAGCTGTCCTGGCTGTGTCCCCTCCCAACTCCTTGTGCACCCCAGCCTGCTTGCTGGTGGGGTGGGGTGAGAAGCAGAAAAGGCCTGTAAGCCCTGCTCAGCAACACCTGAAACGTCCCTATGTTACCAGCACTGTTTCCAGCACAAATCCGAATCACAGCTCCATACTAACTACTATGATGAAAATTAACTCTATCGCAGCCAAAACCAACACACCACTTCACCACTGAGGCCTTTGCCACAAGTCCTGTAGTTATACGGTATTCTGTTTCATGCCCTATCTATTGCAGCCACAGGAATTAGTGAGAATCTCAGGTTTAAAACAAAAAGCAATTAAATACTTCAGAATTATGGCTGAGGAAAAGACTTGAATGTAATCTCCATAGTCTTAATAACCAGAAAACAAATTAAAAAAATAAATATAAGTCATAAAAAGAAGAAAATAATTATACTTTTAAAGCTAATCACAATGCTTTATGCCAATGTTTCATTCTTACTTTGCAGTAATATTTATGACAGGGTAGACTGTGTATATTAATTTCAAATGAGTAATGCTTTCTAAAATTGCCACAAAATTAAGTTCAGGAATTGCACATCTAAATATAATGTGCCTCCAACAAATATTTA